TCCCACTTCAAAAAGGGGAAACTTCCAAACAGATGAGCTACACAAAGTACAACCATCATCGTCGGACACGACAGACCACAACCAACAATGCTATTTCCAGCATATGATAAATAAATAAAAAAAAACTGAAAATGGGTTCTCGTGTCATCGATTTCTCTTTATATGGCATTGTGAAAAAGCGCTATACTGAGAGTAGTCCAACCTCTAAGTCTGAGACATTTAATTACTGCTGACTATGTGATTCTTTTTGGAATAACAGGCAGAGTCACTCTACAGTATTTTTAACATTGGAAACAACCTGGCGCAGACCTTTCCTCATATCTTGGCTGGATACCGCTGAGACATGATTTCCAAATGTTGTTAATTTTTTGTACATGCTGTACAAGACAGACAATACGTATATTGTCTTGTCATACTGTAGGCAGCAGGTTTATTATACACTAGAAGGTAGCGGGGATACGAGCTTACAGTGGTTCACAACTGTTTTTATACACTATTTAATACACATAATTATCAGCTCATGTGACTATGCCGCTGAACAACAACATAATTATTATTTTTAGTAATAGGCATTTTTGTTCTGAAAAACAAAAACAACTCTTTAGGGATAAACTGACGAGAGAAGCTGACAAATTGTAAAAGAACAAATAAAAGTTTATTTCATTGCCTAAAAGAGAAGAAAAGAACACAACGTCTCGGTTGCGGGGCCTTCTTCAGGCCTGTGGTTTCTATTTCTTTACTTATTTTATTATTACGCACGTGATTATTCCTCAATAATATAATTACGTCAGTATTTCATAGATCTAGTCGACATAGCACGAAATCCACACGCACATTAATAGCATCATTGGCAGGTGGCGTTTCAGAGTCCTTGTCTAGATGGCGCTATAAAGCCGAATGAGAATTATAGCAAGAGTCTAGCATATTTCTTTTATCAGTCTCCGTGCCTCTGTTGTTTTGAAGTGGCACTGCTCTTGCGCAGGAACTGCTGAGGACCTGCGCGGCTGGGCACACTCTTCAGATCGTGGATGCGTGACCTTGTGCAGTTTTTCTCCAGCTGAGTTCACGCAGACGCAGAATCTGCACAGAATCCGCGCAGTGTTCGGCAGCTCTACGGCCAAGAACGCAGCGTGATAGAATTTCAAAATGGCAGCCACCTTAGGAAGAGTATTTAGAACTTCTGTAAGTATTTCAAGGAAATAATATTAAGAATTAATATTAAACTCTGCTTTTTCTGTTGCATAGTTCCGTCATCTGTTTGATTGGATTATTTGATATTTTGCAATTGTTATTACAAAGATGTGACGGAATGGGATGTTTTCTAAGTATAACCTTTGGCATTCAGTTTATATAACGACTTTACAGCTCCAGTGGACGGTCACATGCACATTGCTTTAGGATTTAATCCAAGGTAATAACAAGTGGACACGCAGAAGTTTAAATACAGACGCCAAAGACGTAAACCATTTCCGATTCCCCTTCTTGCTTATCTTTACATGAAAAAAAAAACATCTGCATGCCATAATTACGCTACCATTATAGTATATCAGACAGGATAATGGGGTTTAGACTGTAAAGATGTCTCCATGTACAGTATTCGCTAACATGGCCCGCTGAACATATCTTTTCTATATAAGATCTCTAGAGTTTCCTCCGTTGGGCTGAAGTCTGCTTCGTCCCCAGTTGGATCATTGCTATATAACTCTTCCAGAAGGATCCTCGCCTGCTCAGCCAACCAAAAACTTGCCTTCAGTACAGGTAAATTGCCGTTTTGCATCCGTGACCGTGATGTGAGACGTTCTCTAATGCTGTAAAGAGAAAATGTTATTTTGTTAAGGAGCTTGTTCTTTATTCACCCATGATTTTGTGATATGTAGTTCACTTTTTTATGGATTTGTTGTATTATGCAACAGAGGTAAAGTTTAAAGCATTACAAAGTATTTTTGTTTGACATGAGCAGACGTTTAGTAATGAGGTGGATTATTGTGTCAAAAAGTAGTTATGGAAGAAGTCAGTTTTCTCAGCCTAAGGCACTGATGTTAGGTCCGAAGACAAGGTTTATTATTCTAGTCTTGTGTTAGATTTGTATTGATTTTGTGCTTAGAGTGCTAATCCAGAAATTCCAAAAATGACCTAATAACCCTAATAGTTCAGGTGGGTAGCTGCGTCAGCATTCGTAGGCTGCAAAGGAACAAGTAATAGGTTTATTCCATGCTGAAAAAAAGAAGAAAGAGAACACAACGTTTCGGCCGTGGAGCCTTCTTCAGGTGTGGAGAAGACACCTGAAGAAGGCTCCACGGCCAGAACGTTGTGTTCTCTTTCTTCTTTTTTTCAGCATGGAATAAACCTATTACTTGTTCCTTATTAACCCTAATATTCTCCTGTTCCAGGCTGTGTGAGGTTGGCTCCTGTTGTCACCCAGCATGCTCCATACTTCAAAGGCACTGCTGTTCACAATGGGGAGTTCAAGGAGATCAGCCTTGATGACTTCAAGGGCAAATATCTAGTTCTTTTCTTTTATCCTCTAGATTTGTAAGTGTACCTTGTCTTTGAGTGTCAGAGCTTTTCTTTCCTCAAACACTATATTACAATCTTTTGTGTGGATAAATATTTTTAAATTGCATCCTTGTTATGGGGTACATTTTGTCTGCCTATGATTCTGTGATCTTTGAACAAGTAAAATGATTTTCTAGAAGGTTAACAAAAATGAGTTTTAACCTCCTGTCTAGTTACTTTAAAAGCCTTCACTTTGTGAGAATGGAAGTCTGTTTGTCACAGATAAAATACATGACTGGGTAATAGTCTAGCACTTGGGTTATTAATCTGGAACTGCTTCACAGTTTCTTTGGAGACAAAAACCTTTATCTGAGCTAACGTAAATGTGTGTTGTTCTTTTATCAAACCTGCACAGTCAGCCACTGTTCTCAAGGGTGGAGCAATTGCTGTAACGGCAAAGCCTGCTTATATAAGTGTTTAACTGTAGCTAACTAGACACTAACTAAACATAAAAGTAAAAAATAAAAAGTTTTTTTTCTGAAATTGTTGTAGGCAAACTTAACTGCTCACATTTACTCCTTAATAACACTTGTAAAAAGCATCTTGCTTGAGTAGCGTGGGAGTACAGGCCTTTTTGATGTTGGGAAGTGCAGACACTTCTTTACTCAAAGGGTTGTGGGAATAAGGAACATGCTGTGAAAGCCAATTCTTTCTTTCGTGTTAAGTAAAGACTGGCTGAGATAATTGATTCAAATAATTGCGACCTACCAGTTGGTCTAGATGGGCTGAATGGGCTCCTCTGGTTTGTAATTTTTATGTTGGGTGTAAGCCTTACGTTAATAAGGCATTATTGCAAGATAACTAAAACAGGAAGTAGCAAACTTTTATTTGATCTTTGTGTTGTCAAAGCCTCCCTTAAATTGTCTCCAAATTTAAATGCAGCCATTTCTACATGCCATTAATAGATGGAGATCATTCATTGCAGAGTGAAGCACCTGTTCCAAATTAAGATTTGAAATTCAGTCAGATTTAACATTGTCCAAACTACAGGTCCCTGTCCTACTTGTAATTTTGTTTTGCAAGCTAGCATGATTTTCTTTTTCCTTTCTGCAGCACTTTCGTCTGTCCTACAGAGATCATTGCCTTCAGTGACAAAGCCAGTGAGTTCCATGATGTCAACTGCGAGGTTGTCGGGGTCTCTGTGGACTCTCACTTTACCCACCTGGCCTGGACCAACACTGCTCGAAAGGTGGGTTTATAGAAATGTGTCCTAGAATGTTTTCCCATGAAGTAATATTGTTCCTTGGTCACCTGTATTGAGTATTGATACCACTGTACAACAAAAAGTATATCTATGCAGTAATAAAAGCAGAAAATGTTACAACCTGAGCCCCTTTTGTGCTTCTTTTTGATGACAAACTTTGGGAGCACATACAGTAAGAAATTTGTGGACATCCATAATAAGAAATATAAGTATTATAGATTTTAAACACATTTAGCAATAATGTTTCTGAAGTGATGGATGGAGGCTTCTTAAAATGTTTCTGGCAAGACCGTTGCAATGCTTGTCACTGGGTTAATTCAGGGTCAGTCCCTTCAGCTTCTCTAGACTTCCAGTAGTTTTAGTTGCTGACTGGTAATATCCATGATCCGTCCAGAAGCAAACATTACTTGTCCTAATGACCTAACAGTTTGATTGTCAGATATGTCCATCAACATGAATGACAACTCCATTTGTAATGGCAAAAGCAGATGTTTCCTGATGAGTCTGATTTTGTGCATCTTGTGGTGATGGTAAAACCTGTGTATTCAGGGGAAACCACTCAAGCTTTTCTGATGTCTTGCCTCCTATTGCCATCTTTAGGGCTTGGCCTATTGTCTCACAATGGTGAGCAAGTTTTAAGATGTTTAACATTGTTTTGTCTCCTCCTAAATCTCAATCTTGCTACATGATGCTTACCTCTAAGACATTCTGAGGTTGAACTATTGAAGAACAGACCATGCTTTAGTTACATAGGAGAACCTATGAAGGAGAGCCTGATTATAATGCACCAAATCACTTGTACCACACATTAGCTTTGAACTGCCACAAATGTCTTTTCAGACACTGATTGTTTTGTCCTAGTCAAAGCTCAGGGAAAAAGGCTAGCCTTCTTTTGTCTAATGTTGGTCTTCAATGAGGGGTTGTTTTAAACCATTTTCTGTATAGTATGAACTAATTAAGGAAATGCAGAAAAAAATACATGAGCAAGCCATTAAGGAAAAAAGGGAAACATGTGAGAGAAATGGTTCTGATCATTACAGAATGCTGATTTTTGCACATGGCTGTTCCATGCTCTTCCTGTCTGTTTTTTCAGAGTGGTGGCCTGGGTCACGTAAACATCCCCCTGCTGTCTGATCTCAACAAGCAGGTGTCCAGGGATTATGGAGTGCTGCTGGAGGGGCCTGGCATTGCATTGAGGTAGCAGCCCCAAACTGCACTTGTCTACTCATAGAGATTATGGTCTTGAGACACAGGTTGAAAGTAATTTATTAAGAAGCTTTTTGATATCTTCCTTCATCAGTACTAATGGTCTGTATAGGAATCAGGATGTATTAAATAGCAGTTATGTTTATACTTTTCAGTTCGTAGTTTTGAAACTGTCAGTTAAAATTGAGACTCTTAGCTATAGCTCTGTATTTCCTTGACTCTTGCAACGTCCACATTATAGGGTCCATCCTGCACTCTGAACAGTGTGTTTTACTAGAAGAGCCACAGAGGAAACGCTTGTTTAACCAACTCAAAGATACCTTTTTGTTGCCAAGTCTGGCTCTTATTTGTAAGGGACTGGAGAATGATTGCTGCAGTGCTGCTAGTTTTGAAAATTGAGAAACACATTTTGAAGTCCTCATGAAATGTGCTTTTTTTGTGAAATCCCGTCTGTTTTTGAAACTGTAATTTATTCTAAATGTACAGAAACATCTCCTGAGCTTATTGTCTGGAACCATGGAGGACCATACCATATTTATTTCTCTCCGTGGATCCCAAATGAAATGAATGTATCTCCCATCCATCTAAACATCATGTAAAAGTTTTCCATAATGTTGACCACAGTTGCAATCCAAGAATCATTATTCATGAGGCTAAGAAGGGAAGACGAAAGAACTGACCTTGTATCCAAACAGCACCCGAGCACCTTGTTTTTATTGTCTAAGACTCGTATGAGCCTGATGGCCTTTCTTCTGCAGAGGCCTGTTCCTGATTGACCCCAGTGGTGTTGTGAAACACATGAGCATCAACGACCTGCCGGTGGGTCGCTGTGTGGAGGAGACCCTGCGGCTGGTCAAGGCCTTCCAGTTTGTGGAGACCCATGGAGAGGTCTGCCCTGCCAGCTGGACCCCCGATACTCCCACGGTATGTTCTGGCACACACCAAGACAGCGGTACTAGAAGTCCTTTTTTAAAACATGTTTGTTCTAGCTGTAGCTTTTAGAGAAAACGTTGACTACTGCAAAACTAGTCCATTCCTCCATTTTCTATCTGCTTTATCCAATTTGTGGTCGTGGGGGAGCCAAAGTCTGTCTTGGCTAGGGGCAGGGTACACCCTGGACAGGATGCCAGGACATCACAGGGCACACACTGACAGACACGCTGCAAAACTAGTCACCCTGTTAAAAATTGGCCAGTTCCTTCTCCGTGGAAGTTAAATGGGAGATTGATATGGGAGCAGCCCGTACTGTGATTTTCAAAATATTTTGCTATTGTTTTTCTGATTCTTTTGCTCATGGCACTCTATGCTTCTGAATACAAATGCTTTTAAATTTTTGTTTTCCAGATCAAGCCAACCCCTGAAGGTTCGAAAGAATATTTTGAGAAGGTGAATGAGTAGGAGATCAGTAAGAGATAGTTACTGCAACCTGAGCACTACATTTGTAAGCTCTTAGAAGTTAAAAGTGGGTGCAGTCCGAGTTAGCATGTTTGAAAAGCCAACTGCAACTGACACTTAAAAGTGACTGAAGATGGGAAATTAAGAAACAAACTATTCAAAAATAAAATGAGACTTAAAAATGAATGTACTTTGTATTAATGACCTGAATTCTGCTTTGTGCCAATGATGGCTACAATAGTACTTTGTTTAGTTGCTGGATTGTAAATATCCCACTTTAAAACTCTTGGAAGATTTGTATGATTAAATGTTTATGATTCAGCCACATTCAGGGTTTCTGAGCCAAATGAGTGTATTTTTTGTCATTCTAAGCACACATTTTGCTTCTTTAGTTTTGCCTCTAGTTTATCATTCAGCATCCAGGTTTTACATTTGTTACTAAAGGAAGCAATAAGTTAATAAAGTCAGAACATACAGTATGGGATAAAGACCTTTCTTTTAAATTATAATGGCATTTTCTCTTTTTGGTCAGTATAAATCTTCAAGTGGGCAAGCATAGGAACACACCTGAAGAGTGCTCCGCAGGCGAAACATTGTCTTTTCTTTTCCTTTTCAGCACGGAATAAAACATTACCTGTTCTTCTGCAAGCATAGGGACAGCCTCATGTTTCCACCATTTTTAAAGATTCCAAGCCAGAGCAGTAGTTGGTCCTGAAAAGGTTGTTTTGCTTTTCTTTCACCACCAACAACATTCTTTTTTTTTAAGCTTCAAACATTAGGATGGTTGCAGCTCTTATTCTCTAACTTCACAAATATGTTGATGGCAACATGCCACTTAACACGGGGTGGTGGGGAATGATACAAGGCTGCCATTTTGAGTTATGGTTTTTTTTTCCCTTAAAATACATCTCCTCTGCCACGACTGAAGCTAAATTTTAGGTTTATTTTTTAACATGAGCACATTCAGGTAGCCCAAGAGTAACAGCTGGCAATTACTGCAGCCAACTAGCTGTTGCAAAGACACCAGGACCCTTCTCCTTGCTGGAGCAATTACCCCCGGATAAGCAGGTTTTCTTTTATTGTACTTGGTTTTTTATTACAGGCAGGTAAAAAGAAAAGTAGATATCATGTGGTATTTGCTTTTATTTAGCATTGTTGGAAGAATTATTTGCAGGTATACACGCTTAAAAAGCAATAAACAGGAAAAGGTTAGATTACTGTTTTACATTTCACCATGAGATTGGGTTTCATTTAATTAGTCCGATTTACTGTTGCTAACGGATAGCAGTTAACGTTTGGTAACGTCTAAAATGAGACATACACTGGTGGTGCTGAACCTGGGAATGGTTTTGGGATAGCAATGTACGGGTTTAATGTAGATTAGTAACCTATATAAAAGTAATACTAGGCATCACAACACGTAAGGGATAAACTGACTCTTTGAACAGTGTAAACTCATTTACAATGCATAAAGGTATAAAGGTTACTAATCTACATTAAACCCGTGCATTGCCAAAAGCACATTTGATTAAGTCTTTTTAACTTAAGTTGTCAGTATTTCCTGTATGTCCGTAGCAGGGAACTCGCGCACACTTATAGCGTCATTCATAGGCGTTTCAGACATCCTGACTAGGGGGCGCTAGCAGATGGACATGAAGATTTCATTCGGTTTCCTGGATACTTTGTCAATCAGCGCTCCTCTGTTTTAAATTCACGCTGCTAAAACGCGGCTGGGCGCACTTTGTAGATCTTTTGGGAATGACCTTGGACTGTACCTCCTGTCCGCATACCGAGTCCACGCCGACGCCAAACTTGTGCAGATGTGCTGCAGAATCTACTTTCGAGAACTCCGCTAGTGTGCCGATGACACCCGTTAAATGGATCATCATAACTTACAGTACTGGAGAAAAGAAGGACAGGTAGAAGCTTAATATCTACATAACGTCTTCACAAATCACCTGTGGTAACAATATAGATTATGTGCTGAATCCACCTCTGTAAAATATGATTTTGGTACTAATTATAAAGTGCGAGTATTTTATTTGCAGTAGTAACCTGTGCTTTGCAGTACCACGAGCAATCCGTGCATGTCGTGTTTTTCCAACGTATTTTGCATTATTTACTTTATTAGGTTAGTTAAATAGCTATATTAAACTAGCTATGCTAACAGTAAATCAATAAATGGCATGCAGCACATTACACATTAATACGAATACTAAATATATTTCTTGTTATGACAAAAAGCAGTAGGACAAGTTACAAATCTTAAAAGTGTAATGTGTCGCATAATAGTTACACGCTTTGTTTTTCTTGTAGACATGCTTTACAGATGCGGTATTTCCGATGTAAAAATGTTTACTCTTTGCTACTGCTGGGTGATATTTAATTCATGAATGATCTCAGTAGAAGTGCATGTGGTGCATTTTAAAAAGGTAGTATGCATCCTATCAGAGTGCTGCATTTATTTCGTTTTATGTTTCTCGCTTTTTTGTTTGGGAAGACCTTCATCGGGAGGATTTTGAATTGGGTTGATATTTTAGACCCAGTTTCTCTTCTTGCATCAGATGTAAGTATATTTCTTGCAATCCAGACACTGTGTGTTAAATACATTTATTATGAAAATTCATAAAAGTGAATTGGCTATCTGGTTAAATCTAAATAAGATACATAGGATAACGTATTTGTAAAAAAAATATATATAAAGGTCAATATCCATCTAGATGCTGTCAACTGAGGTTCTTTATTACTCATAATTTAATTCAAAAAGTTTATGCGAGATATGCCAGATTTGTTTAGAAGGTAAATCTTCATATCAAGGTATGATAACATTGTGAGAATCAAATTTGTGCATACTGCAGTAAAACGTTGAGAACCACTGTGTTAAGCTATGAATAACAGACACATTTCATTTGTTCTGCAATTCCAATTTTTTCAGGGCGAAATTAAAAAAGCCTGCACTCTGTTGGAAAGCACAAAAGAGAGGTCTCTGGACAAAAAGGTAGCGTGAGTCCTAGTCTCTTCAGGCATTACGGTCTATCAACACTGTTCCTCTTACCCTGTTTCTGAATCATAGTGTACTTCATTTTCCTGATTTTAGGATAGAGATGCCTGGAAGCTGAGTCTAGTAAGTAGTCCCTTCCTTTTGGTATGTTAATTGGTCTGAAGAAAGCATATTTAAATATTTACACAACACAGCACCCCTTTTATTTTAATAGCAATGATAGGAATTAACACAGATTAATTTAATTTGAACCTTTGTTTCTGGCACACAGCATCAATATTCCAGGGTCAGGCAGTCTTGATAATTCCAGTTCCTCTCATTGTAGGAGACAGTGCTTCAATCAATTAACAGTTATTAATTTAACTGACATTGCTGGTGACTACAAACAGCTAAGGATTACTATGAACAATGGAGTGCATTAGACGTTATCGGGTTGCCAACCTTTTATTGCATTTCATGAACATAGACATGTAGTTCCAATGTTTAGAATGGAAACAGCAGATAAAGGCTCTATGTCCTTGTCCCCAAAAAAGTCACGGTAATATTTTTATTTATAAGCTATAATTGTTGCTGTATTTTTTCTGATTTTGTTTTAGTCTTTTTGTTATGTTGAATTGGCATGGAGTCCTAAAAATGCAGGAATCGTTATGTAAAATAAAGTTTCATTTTTGGTTTTATTTATAGGCTTCTGTTCATTCCGACACTGGTAACGTGATTCCACTTGTATTCCGGCCTCCAGGTAAGAAAAGATTTAAAGATTTCGGGCAGCAGCAGCTTTGCCAAAGTATTCACCCCCTTCTAAACAAGTCCCCTACAGGGACAAGCTGGTTGAAGTACAGTGCAAGAGTAAGACAGCAAAGGGAAACCCCAAACCTTCCAGCCCTAATCCAGAGCCCGGCCCACTACTCCACACACACTACTCCTTACAATTCATTTCTTCCGTTTGAGCAAGAAAAGCCTTGAATTTATTTACAATGGCTTACAAAAGTATTCACCCCCTTATTTTGATGTTGAGTTACAAAATATATATACACATTTTTTAAACAAATCACTTTGATTATAACTCGAATGAACTTGAACTTGAACTGGTACATGTACTGGTACAATGGAATTCTTACTTACAGAAAGTCTCTCAGTTGTTAAGCTCAAGCTCAAGCCATATTCCATATGGCAATAATAAAAACTGCTGATGGCATATTTGATTATTTGGTAACACTGATCTTGTTTATTTCATTTCAGCTTTCCTACCAATTGCTGCACCTTTGGTGAGTAAGGTGCTTCTATGTTACATAAGGTAAAAGTAAAAAAATATTAGATGTGTAGACCAGCGTGTATTTAAAGCCATTATCTTGTGTATTTTTCATTGTTCATTTTTAACTGTTGTAGTTTGTAGTTGTTGTTGTCATTCTGTAAAGTGCTTTGAGAAAGCACCTTTAAAGGTGCTATATAAAATAAAGTTTATATTATTATTATTATTATTATTATTATTATTATTATTATTATTATTATTATTCATAATAATATAGATTCTTAAGGAATTAATTGCAATATTTCACATACTTCTTTTTAATTAATGGAGCTGCGATTTGATCTCGTACATTTTGAGAATAGTTTAGTTGGTGTTGTGATAGTTTTAGCAGAATTAATTTAAGGTCAGTGGAAAAAATACTGATGGATATCTATTTAAAATATATATATATATGTCACAGTCTCCATAAGTACAGTATTATATTACCTTCAACTGTTTAGATATTGATATCTATTAAACCTGTTTTATCTTCCAATAGTAAAGTTGTATTTTTAATTACAGTATTTTTCTAACTTGCTCTCAGGTTTTAGCCACCCTCATTCCTCACAGAGGAATGAAACCAGCTCTATTTTGGCAGGTAAATGTGCTGTAACAGAATGATGTCTTGACAATTCACCTGTCAAATTGATTTGTTGATTTATAGTCCTAATGCCCCTTATTTGGTGAAGATCAAGGGTTCCAAGTAAACTAAATGAAAGTATGTAGTCAAAATTCCATAAAGAATCAATCACACTCTTTTCAAATGTAATGCGTGGGTTCAGTTTTCATTTAAATTTGTTTCTCAAATGTATTCCTTGCATTGATTGGATTGCAACAATTTTGTAATCATCTGCAGCTGATTTGCAAATCACCCTTCACTTTTGCAAAACCAGGGGATAATCCTAATGAATTGATAAAAATAGTGAAACTTGAAGTGAAGTAATTACTTTCTCATTTCATATGTAATTTAGCTCAGTTGTCACTTACGACCTACTGCCTACAACCATATTAGGCCTACTTAAATAGCTGTTTCACTATTATGTTCTTAATTTATTTGACAGACATCAGAGACGATCCACAATTAAGACTGCAAAGGAACAAGTAATAGGTTTATTCCATGCTGAAAAAAAGAAGAAAGAAAACACAATGTTTCGGCCGAAACGTTGTTTTCTTTCTTCTTTTTTTCAGCATGGAATAAACCTATTACTTGTTCCTTTCCAGCCTACGCATGCTGACGCAGCTACCCACCTGAACTACAATTAAGACTGTTGAATGGCATTAAATTCTCCTTATTGTAGTGAAATAAAAATTAAATTTCTTGCTCGACAGCTGTGAATGTTATGTAAATACATACCATTCAGTAAATAGAATGTGGTAATGATTTACTGTATGTTATGTACAGTAGCTGTGATAATATTCTTCTTTTCAGTTTTTATTTCACAGTTACAGTGCTGGTTTTAACTATGCCAACAGAAATACCACAGTCAGTCAGGTAAGATGGTTGCTCTGGCTTTCTTAATTTGTTTTATATGTCATTTATATATTATATATATAAATATATTTATATATTAAATATATATGTTATATATGTCATGTTACTTAAACCATCACGGCACTGACTGCTTCAGTGGCGTGATGGTTTAAGTAACTGACTTATAAGCGAGAGGTCGGGTGTTTGAATCCAGCTATTGCCACAAGTTTCTGCAATTTCCCTCACGGGATCAATAAAGTATCTATCTATCTATTTCAGGTAATTAATTTGGACTAGGGAAAGTAGTTAATTATCCATTTACTTGTCTTTAAAGGGTGTGTTGAATTGCCAGCATATTGCAGTTCAGTCAGTCCCCACTCATTACTGTTGAATGATGTTCGCCAGGGGTGGACCTCTGTAGTCTTGGAGAATCATGTTGCCATCTCGTCTTGTAGGTCTCCCTTAATGATTAAAATGATCAGGACTTGGAATACATGAGTTTTGATTAGTATTTTATTGAAATGATCATGTTTAAATCAGGAGCAGCTAAAAGTCGTGCTTGTGATCTCCAAAATGGCATTCTAGACGGGTTGCACAGTGGCTTTCAGGTTAGCACTGGTTGTACCCTGCTCTTGGTGGCTGGGTTTGATTTGGTCTGGGGCACCTTCTGTGTGGAGTTTGCATGGCCACATGGCTTTGGGTTGGTGCTGAAAAATAATTTCAGCTGATTTATGATTTGAGGATTGGCCACCTCTGGTGTATACTATACTTCTTTAATATTATGCAAAAAAGGACAAAAATATGTTTGGTGTGTCAGGCAGATCTATTGAACAAAATCAAGTGTAAAAATGATTGTAATTTTGTCTTTCTCTTGTTCCTGACAGGAAAACAAGATGTCATTAAAGGAAGTTCTTTTGATTGCTGGATCTGTTTCATTTGCGACATGTGCCGGGGTAGGTGTCTAGAGATTGCCCAGGTTTTGTTATTTTGTACTCTGTGTGATGGTGTCTTTTTAGGCTTCTTCTTAGGTGCACAGTTACATGTATGTTTGAGGCATGATTTCTTTAAATAGGTGATGCAAGAGGAGTGTGTTTCAGTAGGAAGTAAATAAGAGAGGAATTATAAACTGAAGGGAAGATGCGGAAAAGTACAATTTTAATTTGATTCATATATCTGAGTGGCCAATATACTCAGAGTGCAAGAAACATACCTAAATGTAAAGAAATGTTTGGAATAATACAAGATATAGGACATGTCAGAAGAACTTGGGCTAGGTTTCTGTTATTTTTATGTTGCAAGTATACTCATCGGAAAAGCTCCCGGAGTGGAAAACGATGGATCACTTAGCCACGCAGCTAGAAAACATGCTAAGTGTGGGAATTGCAGGTCATTTTAAATTCAGATCTGTTGATTAGGGATTATGATTTGCTAGGAGATAGTGTGTTTCTTCTCTCCAGATTGTTGGTTGAGCAATCTACAAATTCAGTTTTCTGTTTTCCATCCATAGGCCATTCCTCAGTATATGATGAAGCACTATGGAATGAAAAACCCAACAGTCCAGTTATTCTTCAGATCAGTCCTACCTGTTCCTCTTTTTGGTAGGTTCCAAAAGTTGTATTAAATAGGATATTAACTGAGTCCTTTTCTGTCACAAGTGCCTTTAGATTTTACTTGGTTTGTACAAATTATTTCCACTTAAAACAAATATTGCCCTCTGACATTGTGCGTGCTGGTTCACCTCTTGGTTGTCTTTATCCCAAGAAGTCCTGCCAGTCAGCAGAGGAGGACTTTCTTGATCTGCTCCTGTGGGCGCAGCATACCTGGAGTCAGCACAAAATGAATTGAGGATTATAACCAAAGTCTAGAACGACACACCTCTACAATTTCTGGGATGAGTTACAGCTGATAACGTAGCCAAACTATTCTACTGTGGTTTATTCACAAAGTGCTCATTGTGGTACTTGTGTATCCTGCATTGTATTAAATGTTATTCTTTATGGGGAAGTATTTTCTTTCATGCATTCAAGTAGGAGTATCAGCTGGGAATGTGAAAAGTATTCCCTGTATACATGTATTGTTTCCTTCAACTGCTCTGTTTGTTTTGGTAATTTCATGCTGACTGAACTGATGGTAATGCACTTTATTGTTTTTTCAGACAGATTTGTTTTTCAAAATTTGCCAGCTTTCTGGTAGCAGTTTTGTAGGTACTTAGCTTTACTGAGTCACTGTTGGTCTGTAGCAAATGATTTTTGATTAAATGGCATTCTGAAAAAATGGCCCACTGCAAAGCCAGATCCGGCATCATATAAAAATTACTTTTGAAGTTTGCAGGTAAGTGGATCTTTTAAGGAATATGTTGTGTCTGTGATTAGGGCAAACCTCTCATCAGGTCAATCATCTCCAACTTATTACTTTGTATGACATATATTGGTTGTTTCTTTTTTTACTTATTCTTAAAGTGGTTGTGTGATGTGAATGGTGTCTTTTATTTCTTTTAGCTCTTTTGAGCGCCTTCAGTTTGTTTGTTGTGAGATCTGAGGAATTTGAAAATGGGATCCAGGTCTTCGATTCCAATGGGAATGCAGTGGGAATGTCACAGAAGGCTGGGCTGAAGGTAAAGGGAAAAGCCATACACCTTCTTTAGGCATGTTCAATTGATTATCTAAAGAATATATCATCATTTTAAGAGTTTTGAAAAGAAGTATGTTTGATGCTTTCATTTAAGTTAAGCTCAAAACTATTTGGTATTTGGTGCACCTCATTTCAGACAGAATTTAAACAGGATTAACTCTCATTTCTCAAGATATAGCATCATATCCTTGTACTAAAAAAATGTAGCGTTACGGTGCTGGTAACTTTTACGAAGGAAAACAATACCTGAAATGATGTAATGTAGATCTTCATTTCTTTGTCAGTCCTATATGGCTCAGTTTTCTGAAAAGTCCATTTGAATGAATGGAAAACACCTTTGTTTAGCAACTCGTTAGATGACTGCTTTCTTCCTCTTTCTCAGGCGGTGACTGAAACTGCAGCATCCAGAGCTGTACTGATTGGTACAACGACAGTAGTGCCCAACCTGCTCATCAGTTTCCTGCGCAGGTGAAAGATTTGTTCCTGTAAATGATTTTCTGTGGTGTTAAAGCACTTTTCTTACCCCATTTCCAAGAACATGCTAATTTCATGGTTATTATTCCCACTGGAGTTACTTTGATTTCAGTGTACTGGCAAAGAGTTTTTGCCAAGTTTACATGGGACAGGCAAGGTTTTTCTTCTTCCTGGAAGAGGTATTCCTGGATAAAGGCTTTTTTCTCCAGGTTGAATGTAAGCATAGTTGTTATGGAAGAATAGAATGCGGTACATATTACTTATACGTTTTTTTCTGTGTTAGAACTAAATTCATTCAGGGAAGACCTTTGCTTCTGGCACCACTTAGACACATAACTGCAGCTCTGGTGTTTGGATTAATGATCCCTGTGTCCTTCAGCTTGTTCCCACATGCTGCAAAGGTAAGACTCTGTGTGACTAAAATAGAATGAATACCGTGTTAAAAGTGTAATAAAGTTTCCCTTTGGTATAAATAAGTTTGTCTAATACTCTGTTTCGGTAATTAAGTTAGAAGAACTTTTAAGGTCCTTTTTTAGAGAGTTTACATACAGTGTATCCCTTGGTTGTTTTTATACTGCAGGTATTTATGCACCGTAAAGCCATGCACACTCATATCTGTCTGTAGTTAAACACACAGGCACGTTGCCTGATTTTCTATGTGCTTGGATCTCTGGGTTTTGTTATTTTATTTGTTGTAAAAAGGGATGATTTGCAGTTATTAAAATGAAGCAATTTAAAATAATAAATTTTAACATAATAACAGGCATTATTTAAACTGCTATACAAAGTAATGCTGTACTGTTGCCAAATGCCTTTCATTCTTATCTAGAATTTATTTTAATTACAATGAGACAACTGCTTGAATTTTAAGGCAGGAGACTGTCAAGTTAAGTGAGACCAAACTGATACTGACTGATACTTCGGAGAATGTTACTTATAGGACTTATTATACTTGCTATAATAGTCATTTCTTTAAAACATTTCACATAGAATCTTTTAAAGTGTTATACCTTTAAAGTGTTTGAAAGTTAGGGAACACATTATGAAATTGATTGGTTTTACATTTCTTACAATTGATAGGATGTTAAGATTGTAGTATACTTTTATATCCAGTTGTTAAAACTTAAAGACCTTCTTGTATGTATGATTTTAGAATTATTACATTAAGTAAAACTTGGGAAAATATTTAATGCCTGATTACATGAAGATTATTATTCAGTTTAGCTTCTTACAGAATGAAAATACACTAAAAAACAAAATTGCAAAAGCAATGTAAGGTGCTCTAAAGGAGGGCTAAAGGCATACATTTTATTCATTAGAAATGGGAATTTATGTTATGATGTTTATGCCTAAACAATATGAGGCATGTAGCCAACATAGAAACAAAGGCCACTCATTCATGTTAATGGGCCTGGAATTCTAAAGCAAGTACTGCAGCCTGCTTGGTAGTCAATGTGGTGAAGGTAAAGATCTATGAAGTCAGTCTACTGTGGCTGCAGTATCTCAATTTCCTGTTTTCATTAGCAAGTCATGATCCCCCTCTTTGTAAAACTCTCCTATAATCCTGAAATGTTCCAAATATTTATTTCCTATGTTTCACTTATTCATTACCAAATATTGATCAATGGTTATATTTGTCAGCCAACCATTTACTGTATTTTCTTTCTATATTGGATTTTTTATAGGTGCAAAACAAGAACTTAGAAAAGGAGATCCAAGCACTGACAGCAGACACACATCTGTACTACCACAGGGGCCTCTGACTTTTCAGCGATGCTGTTCAGATACTGTAGAAGAGGGTAAGGAACTACTGAGAAACTTAACTGGAAAGATGGTACAGTAGTGTTAATATAGAGCCGGAAGAGGCTGAGACTTCAAACAAAACCTTAATGGTCTACCTCCAGTATCTGGCTGGAAATTCAGAGCTCCTACATACTTTTCAGTTTAACATATTACTACAAGGTAACTGTTTCCATAGTACTGTTTGATTGTAATAGAAGGGTTTTCTATGGGTTTTACCATCTATATCCCATATGGTTTAAAACTGATACTTTGATAAATAATATTGGATTTTGGTAGCATTCAGATATGAACAGATTCCACTCCAGAGCAGAAGATTAGTTGATCTGAGTGAAGCCCACCAGGTTCAGTAGTTCAGTACCTTCCTTTGCTAATATTCACACTCTGAAAACACTATCTGGCCAGGTGACGATATCACAGACTATTTCTGATTAAACCACAGTGTATTAAACTTGGAAAACAAAGACATGGTAAGACTGTGAATTTATTTGGCACGGTTATTGTATTGACTTGAATCTAAATGAACAGCAATACATTTATCCTTCAGATATATACAATCTATTAAGCCTAGGAACCACTTGTATTTTTAATATTTTTGTGAATCAGCTGCCATTGTCTTACATGCTTTACATAACATCAGCCTTATTTATTTCAATCCATTGTTTTAAAAATGCAGATTTGTGAGCTACACATGTATATTGACAGAGAACATTCTAAACATGGTGATGACATGACAAAAGATTTTGTTATTTTTTTGTTGAGGCTTCAGTATAACAATTCAAAATAAAATCCCAGTCACACAAAAACTTGTGATGATTAATTCTTGATGCAACAAAAATAAATCAGTTCTTGTTTATTATGTCTGATCATCTCGGACAGTTTTTAATTGAACTTGGGAACTTGGTTCACCATACTGCTGACTTTAACATAGTGGTACATAGACAATTACTCTGTATTCTTAAACTCACAGCTCGTCATCTAAAACAAAATAAAAAAATGTTTATTTACACTTTCTTGATCACACATCCAGTTTTGCTGTGTTTTCTAACCCCTACATTTTCTTGATGAAGGGACCTGCAAACTGTACAATATACTGTACATATTGTATATAACATAATACTAATATTAGTGACAGAAGTATACAACATTAATGATGGATACACAGAAACATCATGTAGCATTCGTATTAGGCATATGTATTTAAATGAGCCTTTGGGTTACTGAAAAATATTGCAGTGTATTGGCACTGTGATTTAAATACCTCATCACTTCTAACTAATCAATTCAGAACAGTCATTTAGCACCATACTCATATTAACAAATCCTGTGCACAAAATCACTATCTCTGTCAGCTGTAGAAAGGGGAACAGTTTAGTTCAAAATTAGTGAAGCATGGTTTAAAAGTAAAGCTGTAAGTCTTCTTTTATAAAACAAATTAAACTCTATAAACAATTTTAGATTGAGTATTTTTTAGCCCTCTGGTGAAATTTGACTTGCAAACCTAAAATAAATACTACATTTGGCTTGTGAAGTTAGCCTATTTTTCTGTTCAAGACTGTTATTCTTGTTTTCATTAGCAGTTCAGTTACAAACCTGTAAATATATATGATCAGTGGAAAAGCTTAATTTCCCCTTATTAGTTCCATTGTCAAATGAATAATTGTTAACAATAATGCACATTAAATTGCCAAACTGAAATGTTATTTTTTTAAATGATGATTTAGAGTGCAACAGGAGTTTGTTTGGTTTCATAAACCTTCTTTAAGGAAGGGTACTCCTCAAAACAATAGATAGCAGTGCATTATAGATGTCATGTTAAACCAGACAAACTATTCATAGTACTGTGTAGCATGCTGCAGTACTGGAAACTGGATGGGAAGAACCTGCAAAGTTTTGGAACTAAATAGAATAAGTGCTGAAAATAAAACAGCTTTTTTTTTCAGAGAAACCATAGTACTTTATGAAAATGTACTTACTTATCAAGAAATGCATATACTTTCCCAAGATGTGTATGGCTTTTGTCAAAAAACGGGATATACTATTATACTTGCAGGAATAGTTTCTTATTTATTTCATTGGGATTTGTCAAGTGGAATCACGTTTTCCGGTGAAAAGGAATTCAAATGCCTAAGAATAGTTCTTCAGTACATTTGTTCACTCAACATTTTTGGAATTACTGTACAGATCTCTTTTTGTATTCATTTTTATTTTCCTCTTGTTAATTTTCTTTGTGGCTTGTTTGTGCTGCTGCACATAGTTCATATCAGTATGCCTTTTTTAACCCCACTTTAAGTAACAAACATCTCATTCTTGTGTTTTAACACAGGAAAGAAATGTATTACATTTTGTATTTTTATTATAAGGTTAGTATTGACATCATTCATTAGGAAACATTCTTAAATTTGGCAGGTCAGAAACCGTTCTAGTGGCATGAATTGCCATGAGTTTTGTTAAGATGTTTGACAAGCTCATTTTAAAATTATCATAATGGTAATGATGATTATTAATATTCTTACAATTTATAGTGCTTTTTTATCCAAAAGGATCCCAAAGCACTTTACATATAAAAAATAATGATTTTACAAAAACAAGATAGGTCCATCTAAATGTAACAAGGTACTGATTATATAAAAAATACAAAATCCTTTCTTCATAAATTAGTCTCTTATTTAAACACATAGCTAGCATTTAATAACTACCAATGTAGCCAAAGACTTTCACACTGACTACAATTGCCATGTAGTAATCTGTTTTATGCTAAAATAAACTGTACTTTGTGGGGGGGGGGAAAAGTTGGCACTCAAGCTTTTTTGAACAACTTTAAATGAGATTTTGTTAATTGCAATTTCATCTGTAAATAACTATTACATTAATTGAAATTGCATTAGAAACTAGAACCCAGTTTTAAAGAAGAAAGGTAGTTTAATTTTAATTTTTGATACTTGTCAGATTAAATTGCTTCAAATGGCAGTCTAATTTCTAAATCAAGAATGGATGGTGGAGCTAAGGAGGACAGTATTTGTATTGAAACACGATATGTCTGAATTTGTACTGTCAACCGATGTTATTTTAATCAGACACTGATAGGGGTTGAATACAAGGCATCAGTCCTATGGGGTTAATAGTTGACTTTGAGTAGTCAATGAGAAGGACTTGCAAAGCATGCTTACGATTACTTGTAATAAGAAGACAGAGTTCACTTAATTCAAAGTGTGAGACAAAAGGCAGAAGGCACACCTATCCAGGCATGTTTATCACTGGGATAAATGGTCTTTATTAGGAGCGTAAGTTGAGACACACTGACTGCAAAAAGCACTGTTTGCCACCTAGATACTTTCAAAATTGCCGATCTCCAAAGCTCTTCCTCATTTCCCCAACCCCAATCAAATAATTTTGTTTGTACTGTCGTTTTCGGTACAACAATTAAGTGTCAGATACTCAGACTATCAAACAATTGAAATAGTGTGTAGTTCATTTCTGTAAAAATCACTTCTGCTGTAAGTCACCCCAGAATTGTTCTTATGTAGACTTATGCACACACTTAAAGAGATCAATTGAAAAAAAGAAAAAAATCTGCTTATTATTTCATGCCCTTTGGCTACAGGCTGCATTTTACTTCTTTGCTGCAAGGGGAGAAAAAGCTCTCATTTCTTTGTATTACAGCAAGTTAAAAAGAAGAGCTTTAACTCCTAACAGTTCTTTATTTTTGTGTCAGGAGAACGTGTCTCACGAAAATTAACGGCAGTCCGAGATTGAACAGGTCTTACTTGTCACTGGATCAATTCTGCTAAGCAAAGTATTTTCCGTTTTGTAAAACAGAAAAACAAGAGATGATGGAAATCGAAAAGAAGCCCCCCCATCTGTCAATGGAGCAGAGAGGAATGCTCTGCAAAATGGAAATGCATCCATTAACAAACATTTAAACATTGGTGTTAAATGCTGAAGCTTTTGTTTCTTGAACCTTGCTTTCTAACTGAGGCTACATCATATAAAACGGTTTCAACTGCTTGACTGAATGGACCTGGGTCCCCTGGCGCCTGCCATATGGCTGTGGAAAAGCGAGATGAAAGTGTCAGATCTGCAGAAGCTGCTCGGCTGCTGCTAGGTGATACAGGAAGTTCTCTGTTGCCGGGGGGAAGCGCCGCTGCCTCAAGGTCTCCAAAGTGATCTTGGAATTCTCGCTTTCTTCTGCCAGAGATGCCAAGTTGGTAAGAATCTCTCTGGTTTTGACTGCAATGTCCTGGAACAAAGAAGTGTGAAGTCAAATGCGTCATTCAGCCGATTAGGCATAGAAATGATCAAAGCTGTTAAAAGAATTCTACATACTACTTATTATATTCTGTTTTGTTCTGTTAATTTTGCAGTTCTTGCAGTCACCTGCTGTTTATTTTCACCTCCCACATTTTCCGAAAGCATGAATTATATTATTCTTTTAATGTCAAAACTGTTTTAACGTTTAACTCAAGCTAAAAACTTGGATTACTAGTAAATACTAGTATTTATTTGTGCAGAAAAAAAGGGAGGAAATCCTGGCAATCCTGGTTTAGCTCTGCCTCACCTTAATAACCTGACTGTCAGTTCTGTCAGCGTCCTCTGCAGCCTGAACGATGAGCTGCCCAATGTCTTTGTGGAGTTTTCCCATTGTCATCGCCTCTGAAACGGGAAGCAAAGCTGTGAGAGGAATAGGGTTCTGAAAGTGTTTCTCATGTAGGCCATAGCCATTCTTAACTTCAATATTCCAACTGTAGTCAAATCAATGGAGTTGATTAAAGTTTCATGTCATCAGAGGCTTATGAAAGTAAACCAATTTGCAAGTACATTAAAAAAAGTTGGTATTGATGGTATGGATCTATTTTGATGTACTAAACTACATCATACTGAATATCCGATTAAAACGCTAAATGTTCCTAATGCAGACTTTGGATTGTAGGCATATGATTCTGTTGTTCATATTGGTTCACCTGGCTTTACACTGTTGCAGCTGAAATGGACCAAATGAGAATAAGATACACAGGATTATACCAGAAGTTTCTCTGCTAGTATGTGTAAACTGCAAGAGGCCCCAGTAATGGTTGGAAAATAAGGCAATAAATAATATCCTTAGTAATGAAGCATGTAATTTGCTAAAATATACACTTTGGTTTACTTAACATTTGTCTTAAGTATTTCTTACAGTGTTAGTGTTTCCAAAGAACAAAGCCTACAAAATAAGTCCCTCACAGAATTATTAGCTATTGTAAAAGTTGAACTAATGTCATTAAGTACTTTACAGTCTTTTTACAGTTAACAGTCAGCATTCCTAGTGAAACTGGTCATTTTTTAAATTGTTGTGAATGTATTTAAAGACCTAAACAAACAATACTTTCTTTGGTTTCTTAATTGTAGTATGCTTTACAATGAGAGCTGTACATTATAATCAGAAAAAAAATCCTGCAGAAAATATGGCAAAAAGTGAATTCTGATCTGCGTTAGTCAGAGGATTTTGTTACATGAACAAACATTCCTGTTAATTAAGCATCTCCTGGCATCGTAACAGAAACACTGTAGCCTGAACAGTGAAACAAAGTCCAGTAAGGAAAACAAGTAGTAATTGAAACTTAGAGTAAATTGTGATATTCAGAAATTTGCTGTTTAATTTAACAGATACTCATGCAATTAACAAATTCTTGTATTCATGTTTTTAATTCAGTGACCAAGAACCAATATACTGTATGCAGCAATGTGTACTTTGTTTTTTTCAGCTAAAAAATAACTAAACCTAATGCTATTTGACTCGTTTCGATAAACTTGGTCCTTGGAACCTCAAATTATATATCTTTTTGACCAAGAGGGAGTTAGAACAATCCTTTGTGTATTAACTGACAATCTCCGAAACCCCATGGTAGAAAAACTTTGGTGTCAAGACAACAACAGTGTGACAGCTAACATTGACTAATGAATTCAAAGCACTAACCTTTTGCTTGTGGCGAAATTCTGATTTCACTATCAGGCAGATTAACATAAACATCATACAGATCAGATCTATTGCTTACTTCTGGATCAATGAATCCTGCTACATAACCTGCAAGGACAGCAAACAAAACCAGCACTACTTACATTAGCGTTACAATGCATTTTATCACTGTGGGAAGGACATCTGACATCTATAATGTTTTTTTCTTAAAAAACATAACTTTAGGTAAAAGGCTCTCATAACCTTATGTTGGATATTTTAAAATTTGGCCATTTTAAATGTTGTCAGTTACATAAACAGAATTTGTGTAAGTCTTTAGTCATGAAAACATTTATTGAAGACAGATCTGGGTTTATCCCATGGCAGGCAGGGCCTGTGCACGTATTAAACTGTTCTAAAAGAGATGTTCCACTATCGAGTTGAATTTCAGAGCCCTTAAAGGTGGTTGTGAAAATGGTATACCAAATTGCAGACAATTCAGTTTAGAATGAAAGTAGTTTATTTGTTCATACCTGTGCACATTTGTAAGGCTTCCAGTTCATAATTGTTAAGGTCTACGTAAGGATGAAGGATGGACCAGTCCTTTCGATGCCATGTCAGTGCTGGGAGGGCCCTGAAATGCACGCCAACATTTTTAATAAATCAGATCTGCCTCTGACAAAAGGTGACAACCAGTAACAATGGCATGGCCTCTTTTTTTTTAGCCTCGCAGGTTTAAAGAGGAACTGCAGTCCCAATTTCCCAGATCAGTTATAAAATTTTGGTAACAAAATAAATTCATTGATGTTATCTACAAATTTCGAATCAAGCACAAAATCGTGAACTTTGTGGAAGTACTGTAAGTCGCCATATTATGGCAAAGTAGTTCAGGTGGGTAGCTGTGTCAGCATGCGTAGTCTGCAAAGGAACAAGTAATAGGTTTATTCTATGCTGAAAAGAGAAGAGAGAAAACAACGTTTCGTCTGTGAAGACTTCTTCAGGTGTAAGGTTATGTTTTCTCTCGTCTCTTGTCAGCATGGAATAAACCTATTAATTGTTGCTTTGCATATTATGGCAAAGTCGCATTCGAATTCCCATGAATTGTGACATGATGCGGCCCTTCCTGCTCACTAGTCACTGTAATGACTAATGTAATTCAATGTGTGAGCAATTAATAACAGGTTGTGCAGCAGACATTTCACCCAATATAATCTGCATGTAAAGTTAACAAGTAGTATTTGTCGGCAAAACTCTCTCAAAGTCGAGAGCAATATTTCTACTGGATTAAAAGAGATGTGTTCACAAGTCTGCTTCTTTACAATGTCATAGGGCCGCACACGTCATTGTAAGTTTTGTTGCCTTATTCTGAATTGCAGAACAGTGTACTGGAAATTTAATATATTTTGTGATGTAAATTAGTTTTACAGGTTACTGTGAACATTTGACTTTTCTTGATGTTTGAAATGCACTCATCCATGCTGATTCTTTCTAACCCCAAATTATGAAAATATTTTCTAATATCTACCATTATGAGGGGAAAAAATCTCAAATATACAGTAGCTATAAAACAAGTAGAACACGTGGACTTGTTTGGCACAATATAATGGTATAGAATTCTACACAATTTAACATAACATACTACAGCAAAATCTTAAACTTCACACCAAAGTGAATTTGGAAAGTATACAATTTTAGATACCCCCACCCTCCATATCACCTTGTGAACTCCTGGAGTGCTTCAATTCGAGGATGGTGGACCACAATCCTCTTTTTCAACATCAGAGCAGTGTAAAGGATAATGGTTTCCATTCCAAACTGAAATACCACATCTGAAAAGGGAAACCTTGTCAGTACAGAACAGACAGTACAAAAAATCACGGACAAATCCTATACACTGTCCATGATTTTTATATCATCTAGTGCTGTTATATACTGTTACATGATTAATAATTGAATGGACCTGCATTACAAAAAATAATGAACAGGTAAGAGGCAAGTTAGGCTCTTCCTCTTCTGGCAGCACAATCTGGAAGCCCAGAAGCAAAGGCAAGTTTGGAAATATTCTCTTAGATCTTAGTTCTACTAATTATATTAGTGTATAACTTAAAACATTCCTTTTTATCCCTCCACCTCTAAATAATCCTTAGTATATTTGGGTTTTGTGTATAAGGTTTTGTGTATTATTCAATTCTGTTTTGCACATGACTGGCTGGTATTCTAAGGTGCAGATTCCTAAATGTAAAGGAACAGCATGTTTTTATTAGAACACCTCATTACTTTTTTTCCTGGTAGATTTAGCTGTGAATTTTGGGCAACGTGGCTACAAAGAAAGTAAGACATTTTTACCTTTTATAGAACCTGCAAGGTAAGCCTTTCTGACATCATAGTCCTTAATGAGAAAAGAGCCATTCTCATCACTCTGACAGATGCCTTTGGTGAGTACAGCAATGTAGCCTTCCATCATCTTGACAGGACTGCTATATTTAATGTATATCCTAAAAACAGGAAAAGAAAAATCCATGCTTGTTACAATTTTGTTAACTTAATCTCCTCCTGCTTCATGATCTACCTTTGTATAGATTTTTCTGACTCTGACTGTGATACGTCTACTTCTCAACAGTTGCATCATCCATTCCCCTGCAGATGACGCATGTTCTAGATCTGCACTAATGGGCATCGTCATATTCTGGAAAAGCCCCAGTACTCTACACTACTACTACACTACATAACTTGTTAAATTTAGTAATCAAGTAGTCAAATTCTATGTACTCAAATGTATGTGACATTTGGTGCGTCTACAAATAGTACCATGTGGGAACGTGTCGTACAAGAGAACACATTTAATAAGCTGATGACTATTCCTGTCACATACTGTACTATCACCAAGGTGCTGCTTCAGTAGGTTCAATACGTTACAAAAGCTTGTGTGGACAGTTAAAGAAAGGAACTATTCATTAAAATGCCTGAATTCTCTTCATTATTTCATTGATTAAACCCTTACTGTATTTTAACTGTTACTATCAAAACTCATTGTGTTAAGGATTAAAAGCACGTACCTGCAGAGCACTCTGCTAAAGGCAGCATACTTCTCAGGGTTGAAGTCTTTTGCTGTAAGCACTATTGAAAAATGGGTGACCTAAATACAAAAGGGGATAAAGCTTTCTTTGAAACAGTACAAATTGCTTTTAAAAATGCTATTCAAAATTTGATCATTGGACTTTATTGATGAATCAAAATTCAGATGTTATCAGAATTTCTCAAGTCATGCGCCATACCTTAGCTAAACAGTTCCATAGCTAAATTCCTCTTTTGTGTGGATTACATTTAATAGGAAAAAACAACGGAGTTGCAATTTTTCCTTTTTGGAATTTCAGTGGTCTTACGTTTTTTCCACTGAAGGTGGTGATGCAAAAATAAAGCTTTACAAAAGAACCGTGCAATCAACTCGATAGATCTAGAAAGAAACCCTCGAAAGCCTGCTGTCTGATGCACGATGCCTCAATTGCTTCCTCGTAAAGATGCATTTGTTTTTTTTATTAATGGCAAAAAGAAATAAGAAAAGAAAGAACTTTGCTCTGTGGACATTTCGGCACGGACTGCGGGAAGCCGGCAGCACACTCGCCTTCTGCAGGCCGGTGGGCTCCTGCACCTCCGCGGTGGTGATGTAGTACCACGTCCTGCGGAACTGGCCGAACACAAAGGTGTGGAGGGCGAGGCTCTCCCTGGTCAGGCAGCACTTCCCGAGCAGGAGCTCCCGCAGCTCGGGGCCGACCGAGGGGTAGCACCACACCCACAGGGCATCGCCGTTGGTGTCTCTCTCTGAGGCGGGAGAAGATACGCACCGTCAGAACGCACAGGAGCAGCATGGATGTGAAATGGCTGGAAGGTGTGCTTCTGGACAGAAGCTTCTGTCTCTCTTGCCAGGGCACCGGTTTATGTGAGGGAGAAGCCTTGGCCAGTTACAGAGAGCTCATTTTATGAGATGGTCATTCTTAACACCGTTAAATACATGTGGAAACAGGGTGCTTACATGGGTTACCTGCGTGACCAATTCAAAACGGCTGCAGTATGAAATCTGTAGACCATGGGGTAGTGACATTTGGTGCGTCTACAAATAGTACCATGTGGGAACATATTTCCAGCAGAGGGCGCCACATCAGCTCAATTTTGAACCAGTTAAACCCATGAAGGCTTCCTGTGTGGAAGGACATGATACAAAGCTGCTTGATAACTCGACTAGGTCAAATCACTTATAAGCACACTTGAGCTTTCTCAAATACTGTATCCATTTTTTTACTGCTGTTTTTTTTTATCAGTGATACTCTCCACATCCCAGCTACAAGTCAGACCTAATTATCCCTCATCAGAGGAGGACCGTAAGCTATTCTCGCTTGATACTGGTCCTCAGTGGGTGCTGATTCAGTAGGGGTTGCAGTGATGAGGAGAGCCAACATGAAAACCCCTCAACCCACAGGAATGTAGTACTGAACATACATCTGTTCATGTAGACTCTGTCGATATAGTGCCTCTAACCTGCAATAAATATCCTGTGTTACACCATGTAGTCTTGAGACTTGTCTCACATCTTTCTTCCTCACTGGGGTAAACAGTCTATTGTTATCCAAATCCCTCAGGAGCTCTAGTCTTTCTGCTTCTGTCCAACCTGAGCCCTCAGTTGCCTTGCCAAGCTTCTCCCTGCTCGCATTTTTTTGCTAATCAAATTTAAACTGTTTTCAAACATTGAGGTTTTTAAATAATGCTTTTCACAGTAACCCAAAAAACGTTTGCTAATATCAAAATATAAATAGAGAAAGAAAATACAATAATACTGTGGAAGGTGTTGCCATTAGAAATAACAAAATAGCCAGAATGATTAAAAATTACAGTAGAGCCGGTTATTCGAATGAGACCAATACTGACTCAAATTTGATCAAGTTTATGAAAAACTCGGGTTTTTAAATTAACAGAACTAAAAGAGTTTTATATGGCAACTCTTTCTGCACTACAATGTTCACGTACGTTTCTGTAGTAACAACTGCTATGTAGTGTAAATAGCACTGACCCAAGCGATTCAGTACCCCTGTAAATCACAGAAAGGCCTGTCTGAGTCTCAATAGCACGATTGGTGACGTCACGCTTGAACACGGAACGACCACTCAAAATGCGAGAATTACTGCGAGCTGTCTGCTAATATGACCTGTTTTCACACAATTAGCATTGTTTGTAAGTTATACTGCTACACGTCAAGTTACCTAACTCGTGGTAGGTCTAAAGTAAGGTCAGCTCTCACTTTTGAGACGAGTTCGTGGCAATTCAGTAGTTTGGAGGGTACGATAAAACACACCGAAACAATATCTATGGCACAATCTGAGAGGTTAGGATGTGCAGACATAATAAAAATGAAACCATTCTGAAACAGACCTTTGAAAGCTTACATGCCGGTGTCTGATTCTACACAACAAACGACTTTGTTTATTTTGCATATTCATCGATAAGGAAACATCATTCATACGTGTCAACAGTTATAAAATAAATGCAATAAAACCAAGACCTTGCTTTACATTATCTTCTAATTTTAAATGAAAAATCATAATACGAAATGACAACTTTACTATGAGCGATAGTGAAAACGAAATCATGTGACTTCTAAGGTGGACGATGAAAATCGTATTGTAACATTACCAGGGCTGCATATTTAAAGCTGAACATTTATCAAGGACTGGTGATCTAGACAAGTGGCATTTTAGTAAGTCATGGCAGAAACGATATTCGTTTTTTTAATATACTTTTCAACCACTGGATCACTGGCAATCGTCCTGTGCAACAATATTTCCCTATTTCCGCTAACACACTGCAGTTCTCTCTCTCTAAAAAAAACCTCTCAGATGACACAGAAGCGGGATCTTCACCCCATCGTTAATGAACTTGCTGCCACGGACAAAAACTGTGAAATGTTTAATGAAAATTCCGTTTAAAATGAGAACTACCCGAATCCTTACCAATCAGTCCAACGCTTAACATCAGCTGAGTTTCAGCTGCAGCCATCTTTCGCCACCCCCCTCTGCGCTGGAAGATTTATAACAACTAAAACAATGAAAAAATACCTTACGACATCTTCACGCAAAACTGCAATGTCATCAATTAATATATACTTGTAAAATGTACATTCATTCCAGTAAATACGATTTCAACCGCGTATCGAGGAAAACATTTTCTTTGCATTTTTATGCATCGTTAAAGACATCATGTTGGACATCATTTTCAAACTTGAAAATGTTGCTGGTCTGTACTAGATCCTTAGCAAGTCAAACACAGCGTTTGCTCCGTGTGAGGTGTTAGTAGATAATCAATTTATATGATCGTATAAAGAGGTGACAATATTAATAGCAGGAACCAGTCATTAAAAATAATTTCAACCTCTTTGTAAAGAGGTTCATACATGTGACTGTTATAGTGCTAAATCCACACTTCACCCTAATTATCTTTAGAGGCTCATATAATCATATACAATTGATTAAACTTTTTTTTGCCGTGACATAATTTAGTAACATAATTTCTTCTCTTTGCATTAGACATTATAGGGATGTTTTCTGGAACAGCAAGTTCTTAGTTAATTGTGTTAAAATACAATAATACAGTTCTTAGAAATTATTGTAGCCTTCAAGGGTCATGTTTTGCAGAGTCGGGCGAAGTAATTTTGCTTTAAAGTCATGTTGTAGTGTCTTATTGTGAAAGAAAATATAGTTGCTTTCACCTTAGCGCAATACAAGGTTTTGTCTTTTCCCTACAGACATTATGGCTAGCCGTTTCATATTCTTAAACAATAAGAGGTGTCTGTGCGGTATTTTTGCATGAAACCCGGTTATTTAAGGGGTGTCTCTTCATACCATTTTAATTTCAGATACGTTACATTGTATTTACAATGCAAGGCGATCAATTACAGAATTATTTTTTCTGGAGCATTATAGTCTTATAGTCAAATGTGTTAGAAAAACGAACAGCTGAATGAATAGACGCACCCTACCAGTGTTGCATTGGTAAAGCAAAGCGCAAGCTTTCTCGTCTATCGCCCCCTATTGGCCGTCAGAATACTGCACATACGGGAGCCGAGAGTGTCGTGGCTTGTGGGTGGGCCACGTGATCCCAGCAGTCCTTTCTGAGGAGCCTGACTGAGCGGGTCTGTAGCCGGACGGCGCGTATGGACGGGTTTAGAAGGGTTTTTATAAATGTTATACCCTTTTCGTCGTAAAATTCATTCCGTAACCAACTGAACAAACATGCCGGCGTATTTTCAGCGCCCCGAAAATGCCCTTAAGAGGGCGAATGGTGAGTTCGGGGAAGGGTCCAAGCCTGCAGGGTGGTGTGGGTAAGCGGCGTGGGGGAAGCCATGTTGAAGATAAACTGCTCATTTAAAACAGGCCATCTGGCGTAACTGTAGGCCCATCGCAGTTTTAAGTTAAAAAGAGCAAACGTGAAGCATTTGCGTAACTTTTTTAAAAATAATTTCTTGAATGGCCCCACGAATAATCCTTGTTGTGGATTGCCGAGGATTATTAAACGAGTCATAAAATCGCTGCGGCAGAATATTTGGTTAACGGGCCGAGAGTCTTAATTGTTGCGTGGTTAAGGAAATCCGGGCTTCGTTAGGTTTTTGATCGGCCGATTGCAAAATTATGATGCACAGTGGGTCAGCATATGGTCAGCCAGCATATTACATCCTTGGCCCACGCCGACAAATGGAATAATTAATCTTTTAAAGTGAAACCGTTTAAAAGGGGGCCTCCTCTTACTGTAGATGAGACGTTATTTATATTTTAGAATCTAGCTTGCAGCCTGACTGCTGCGGTTTGTAAAGCCCCTTTCCAACGTGCCAAACAATAGAAAATGGAAGTAAGCAACGTGCTGGTGTTCAGTCGCAATCATGACACCACAGTTCACTCCTCGTTTCGCGTGTGTGTGTGACGTGAGTAGGCATATTCCGCCATCTGCTGATCATGGAGGCCGCTCTTCTCGCATGTTCGTGCAACATCATTTTAGTTGTGCAATCTTTTAGCCAGTTGCAACCCATAAGTCCACCATTGACAATTGAGTACAGCTCAATTGCCTGATTGGCATTAGTTTTAACATAACATCACCTTATTAACCCTTTACAATTTATTGCATTAGGAATTATCTTTTCACATACCCCAGCTTGCTCTCCATGAGACACACAGATACACAAATAGGGAGAGAGCCTGGGGTCAGAGCGCAGGGTCTGCCATTGTACGGCGCCCCTGGAGCAGTTGGGGTTAAGGGCCTTGCTTAAGAGCCCAATGGAGTAGGATTCCTCTGCCAGCTGCGGGATTTGAACCGGCAACCTTCTAGCCACAGACACAGATCCTTGGCCACAGAGCCACTGCTCCGCCCCTCCGTGGGTTTGAACCCAGGTCTGCACTGACTGCACATCAGTCTGGGGATTTGAACCCGGACATTCCCCGCCCGCAGCCCAGCGCACTACACGACGAGCCACAAATTATTAACATGTGATTCTGTTATCCCCTGTTGGTCTTTTTATATCTGGTCCAAGTTGTCAGCTGCCACGCAGTGCTTGCTTCCAGTGGCTGTTTAATGCGCCTGTTTGTTGCCGTGATGAATTAAAAACATTACGCTGTAGTAAAGCAGTACATGGGTGCTCATTGTTTCTGATCCTATCAATTTATCTTCCGTGTAGTAGTAAAACAGGTGTAAAGTTTAACAAGCACTTTTTGCATGTGTTAGTTCTTGTACTTCCGCGCCTACCTGATACTGCTAAACCAAACCTGTATTGTGGGTTTGCAGATCTGGGTCTTGTACGAATCAGGTTACTAAATTGCTCCTAAACATTTGGCTCATACCTTTAGAGAAAACAGGCTTTAAATAGCCCCGTGTTGTCGGCTACATTTTATTACTGTCAGCGAAATATGCGACCTGTTTCAGTAAAATATATCAGATGTATTTCCAGGGTTTATTTTGTAATAAAAAAATTAGATGTTTTCATTTATTATTGTATCATTCTTTTATCTACAGTGTGGTTTGTGTGATAGAAAATAGGGATTATATTGTATAAATGTCGCTCTAAAATTTTGTTAGTGTAGTTCTTGCATTAAACAAACATGTTTATTTCCTCACTGCTGAATCATTTAGAAAAAGGTAGATTTCATGGATTTACCTTCTTAGCTGAAGTAGTTCAAGTAGGTCGTTGTGTTTAATTTTTTTTAAATGTTTAATTTTTAGAGTTTCTTGAAGTGGGGAAGAAGCAGCCTGCTCTGGATGTTCTTTATGACGTGATCAAGAGCAAGAAACATCGAACATGGCAGAAGATCCACGAGCCCATCATGCTCAAGTACCTGGAGCTCTGTGTGGACCTCCGCAAGAGCCACCTGGCTAAAGAGGGCCTGTACCAGTACAAGAACATCTGCCAGCAGGTGCGCGTTTAGAGAGCGATTGTGTTCCATGTCAAATGTAGGACACACACATATATAAATGTATGTTTCTTCTACGTTTTATATAAATGTATTGTAAAATAGCATTTTATGCCAGTAGCTATATCACCCTGCAACTCACAACTGGCAGCCCATTGAAGTTCAGCAGGTGTGAGCCTGGTCAGTACCTGGATGGGTGACCTCCTGGGAAAGCTAAGGTTGCTGCTCTAAGAGGTGTTAGTGGGGTCAGTAGGGGGTGCTCACCCTACAGTTTTTGTGGGTCCTAATGCCCCAATATAGTGATGGGGACACTATACTGTAAAAAAAGCCATCCTTTGGGTGAGATGTAAAAAACCAAGGCTCTCTTTGGTCATTTAAAAATCCCAGGGTGTTTCTCAAAAATAGTAGGGTTGTTACCCTAGTGTCTTTGCCAAATCTCCCCCTGGCTTTTATCAGTCATGGCCTCCTAATAATCTCCATCTATGAACTGGTTTCATCACTCAGTTCTCCTCCCCACTGACAGCTGATGTGTGTCATGGCTGTCGTGGCATCATCCAGATGGTGCTAAACATTGGTGGTGGAGGGGAGCCCATTACCTGTTAAGCACTTTAAGTGGAGTGTCCAGAAAATAGGTGTATATTTGTGAGGATTCATATGTTTCTCTTTTATGATAACTGGTGTCATGTCAGTTGTCCAAATAAAAAAAAAAGAGCATTTCTATTTTCCTGTTGTAGAAATGTGTAATGTGACATAGGAGTGGTAGGCTACTGCAGTGGTTACCATTGCTGCCTCGCAGTGCTGGGGCCCTGGGTTCAGTTCCTGGGCTTCTGTCTGTGTGGAGCTTGCATGTTCTCCCCGTGGGTTTCTTCAAAGTGCTCCACTGTCCAAAGACATAAACAGATGTTAATTAAAATTGATTAAAAAATGAGGGCTGGAATGTGTGTGTACACATTGTGTGCCCTGCGATGGACTGGTATCCCGTCTAGGGTGTATCCCTGCTTGCACACAGTGCTTGCCAGGATAGCCTACCAGCTACTGTGACCCTGAACTGAATATGAGGTTATTTTGATGATGTGATGTAATGTGGTTTTAAGATTTTCAGACATGAAATACTGAGTTGTGAGCTTAGTCCTGGATATTTGTTGGTGACTGGGTTATGCTTTATGCTTATCTGGGGGCTTTGTTGCAGGTGAACATCAAGTCCCTGGAGGATGTGGTCAGGGCTTACCTCAAGCTGGCTGAAGAGAAAACCGAAACTGCCAAGGAGGAGTCCCAGCAGATGGTGCTTGACATTGAGGACCTTGATAACATCCAGACTCCTGAGAGGTAAACTGCTCTGACCGTCCATGCAGAGACGGTACCTCAGTATGCATAGCTTGGGTAGAAAAGTGAGAGCCAAAATCTAGATGTTTTTGGAATACATTTGGAATGTATGAGGGCAAGGGAGGTGAAGGATCAAATAAGAGAAAAAATTACTTTTGATTTTTGAGCATATTCAATATACTGTATGTGTTTGTCATGGTTTTTACGTACTATGATTTGAAGTTGTGTGTGTACATTAGATTGAGTATATCTTTCTGAAATTTTAATAATTGTTTACACTTATATAGCGCTTTTCTAGACACTCCACTCAAAGCGCTTTACAGGTAAGGGGGATTACCCTCCCCTCCCCTGGCCATAGTGCACCAGAACGCTCACCACACATCAGCTATCAGTGGGGAGGAGAGCAGAGTAATGTAGCCAATTCATAGAGGGGGATTATTAGGAGGCCATGATTGGTAAGGGCCAATGGGAAATTTGGCCAGGACGCCGGGGTTACACCCCTACTCTTTTTCGAGAAACGCCCTGGGATTTTTAATGACCATAGAGAGTCAGGGCCTCGGTTTTATGTCTCATCTGAAGGACGGCGCCTGTTTACAGTATAGTGTCCCTGTCACTATACTGGGGCATTAGGACCCACATGGACTGTAGGATGAGCGCCCCCTGCTGGCCCCACTAACACCTCTTCCAGCAGCAACCTTAGTTTTTCCCAGGAGGTCTCCCATCCAGGTACTGACCAGGCTCACACCTGCTTAGCTTCAGTGGGTTGCCAGTTGTGAGTGGATTTTCTAGGACTGCCCTTCATTACAGAAACTCAGGTGTGTGGTTAAAACAATGAGAATTTAAAATTGCTTCAATTGCTGAAAGGTTTTTGGTATATAGTGTGTAGCTCTGAAAATTAAGTGTGGAACCTACAGTTTAACTGGTCCAGATCTAACTGGAGTGTGTTTCTTGTTTCAGTGTGCTGCTGAGTGCTGTCAGTGGAGAGGATACACAGGATCGTACAGACCGCCTATTGCTGACTCCCTGGGTGAAATTCCTCTGGGAGTCTTACAGGCAGTGTCTGGATCTTCTGCGCAACAATTCCAAGGTGGAGCGCTTGTACCATGACATTGCTCAGCAAGGTGAAAAGCACTGTTTTTATTCACTCTACACAACAGTCAAGAACAGACTTTTTTCTCCACTCATCTCACTTTGATTTAATAAAATGACTGCTTGTTTTAGGATTTAGCATTGTCAGGTAGTTTCCTTTTTATGCCTTGATTGGGATAGGCAAGTTTAGCTCCATCTGATTGAAATGCCACACTATCCTGTGACCTGTGGGCCACCTACACGTGTGCTCAGACTTGTGGGACACCTTAACAAAACAACAAACTAGAATGTATTATCACATATTGTTTTTCCCCTCTTTAAAAGAAAAATGAAAGCAAGTGTTAAGTGTTCACAAGTGCTTGATTTAATATGCTAAGATTGGACTTGTTTTAAATTAAGAGATATTTAACTACTGTGAAGATATTGAAAACCTGATTATGGTATTTGTATGCATTTCTATATTGTGTTTTAAACAGCCTTCAAGTTCTGCTTGCAATACACCCGCAAAGCTGAGTTCCGGAAATTGTGTGACAACCTGCGAATGCATCTGGGACAGATCCAGCGTCACCACAACCAGAGCACAGCCATCAACCTCAACAATCCTGAGAGCCAGTCCATGCACCTGGAGACGAGGCTGGTGCAGCTGGACAGCGCCATTAGCATGGAGCTCTGGCAGGTCGGCCCAGTAAAGTACTAGTATTGCCAGGCGCCCTGTAGTCCTTTTGGTAACTCGTTCTAAGAATGATTTAGATATCTGAGAATATTTTTTTTTGATTGAGGTTGTTTTGATTATTTTTTAGTTTTGTTTAATCACTAATAAAGTGCTGTAGATTTCCTAAATCCTCTGTAAATAAACATCAGGCAATTGTCAAAATGTGACATTTTCTCAATATGACTGAGAAAAACTGATAGTGAAATAGTATATTGCACCCTTTCTCTTTTTCAGTGGCATTTTCATTAAAGCACTACTTGCTGCTGAACTGCATGGAAGATTTCATAAGCTTTGTATTTTTGGTTAGCTTCCACAGCTAATCGGATTTTTGGCTCGTTTTTAGCACGTATATATGTTAACAAACTTTCCCTATAAATTTGCTAAGAATATAGTGAAATTATACTTATAGAATACGATAGTGCAGATTTATTTTCTTTCAAAATACTTTATTCTGTGGGCACTTAATCATACTTTTGATGATACTGCTAAAGGGTACTTAATTCTGTTTTTGTGCATCTTTGCTAACAGTGCTTATAAAACATAAGTTTAAATTTTGGTCTTCATTGTAGCTACTTTAAAACAGCTAACTTTTTTGATTATGCTGTATAGCTGAGTGTTTATACTAACAATTAGGACAGCAGTGCTAATGTAGGTCAAATTAATATTCATTTGTATAGTCAGTTACTTTAGTAAACAACTAGTACAATTCCTGATGCTTTTTTACTGCTTTCAGACTGAGCTGAGTATACATAAATTTAAACAAAGAAACTAGAGATTATTTTATGTAATGTGTTGGTTTAGTGTTTTTGAGGCCAAAGCTCATTTTATTTAATTTTTCTAGGAAGCATTCAAGGCAGTTGAAGACATTCATGGCCTGTTTGCACTGTCTAAGAAACCGCCCAAACCCCAGCTGATGGCCAACTATTATAACAAAGTTTCGACTGTGTTTTGGAAGTCTGGTAATGCCCTGTTCCATGCCTGTACACTGCACCGGCTGTACCATCTCTCCAGGGAAATGAGGAAGAACCTTACCCAGGAGGAAATGCAGAGGTCAGCACACAGAAATGTTTCTGCCTATGCTAAATATGATCGTGAAGGGAAGGTGGCACTAGTTCACGGTCATTTTTTGTTTGCCTTTTGTATTGAAAGCTTTGGTGAATGTTGCATTATATTGGGCATAAAAATATACTTAGCATCAAAAGAAAGTTCTCACCTATAATCGCAACATATTCAGTTATCAGGAAAATCACAGTTCTTTGGTAGCAGGTGCACCAAATTTTATTGAACAGGCAAAAATTCATTAGTGATTAACACTTGTCAGCATTGTGATGTGAAAGTCACAGAAGCAGTACTAGCTGTGCCTTCTTTGCACTAGAATGCAGGTGCTTCTGTACAGTTCTGTGCCATGCCCTTCTTCTGTATGTTGGTTCACTGGTCTCTGTGGCTTGATGCCATATGTTGTTCCAATTAATTCCCTAAAAGTTCAATGGGGCTCAGGTCTGACAAGTAGTAAGACTGAATAACCCACATTTACGTCTTACAAGAAAGCTGTTGAACAAATAGCAGGGAAAATGAATTCCAGTTATTTATTCGGTATACCGCTGTGTAGTGAGATTTCATTCCATCACTGCAAGTGGGGTTCTGTAGCAATCAGACACTCCTTTGGAGACCACCATTTTAGATGAGATTTTGAGACTTGATCTCCAATCTCCTTGCTTATATTTGGCAGACTGGCTGTATTTTTGTTTTTCAAGTTGAAAATTGTTGTGCAGTAGTGCACAGTCCTAATCCAGCCTTCACCATACTGGACAACATGAAAGTGAAATTATGTATTGTTTTTGAAGCACAAAGCACTTCCTGGGATGGTAATTTGTTTTACTGTTGTATCAAAATATTAGGTTTAAATATATTTTGACATTAAAACACTATGAAATAAATGTAGGGTTGTTGAGTTCTGAATAAACCTGTTTTTAAATGAGTTTCTCGGACTGTATTAGACTGCTTTTAAATAGAATAGTACATGATTATAATGTCATACCTTGGTAACAGTTTTGGATCTGATCAGCTTTTACGTTGTCAGAAAACTACAGCACATCTTTAACTTATTGTGTCTCATTGTTTAACAGGATGTCCACCCGGGTGCTTCTTGCAACTCTGTCTATTCCCATCACCCCAGAACGTACTGATATTGCTCGTCTTTTGGACATGGATGGCATTATTGTGGACAAACACAGGCGTCTGGCTACTCTTCTAGGCCTGCAGGCTCCACCTACCCGTCAAGGCCTCATCAACGACATGGTGAGTCCGAGGTCTCTTTCTAAGCTACTACTTTATCATTCAAACTCGGTTTGTAAAAGCTTTGAATTAGTTCATGATTGACAATGAAGATAAAACACTAACTTAAAGTAGAATTTACAGTGTTTTCATCCGTTTTGCTTTCAGTACAAAAGGAAGATAATAACCAGGAGAAAGTTAGGACCCAACACTTGTGCTTCAAACCTTTTTTTCCCCAAAAGGCTTGATTTGAGTTCATAGAATTACATTGACTGGTAAATTGCTGTTATTTCAAAGTTAGGAATAACAATGTTATTCCAAAGTACAGTACTTCAAAAATTGTATTACTTTAGCAGCCTTGGTGCTTTTAAAACATCTTAAAAATGTTCTTGTATCATTATTTTTTCAGTTTAAGTAGTAGTCCTGTGTAGATGCAAGCAGTCCTACCCAAGGTGAAGGAGGAATAAAATGTCAGTTATTTTTAAGATTTTAGGCATTTTGTTTCAGGATAATCTGATATCTGTATTTTGTGGTGCAAGGTAATCTTTCAGCTGTATGTGTGTGTAGGAACAAATGATGGTAAGGACAACACTGGACACAGGGTTGGATTGGTAAATGTGAAGGATAAGCTACTTTATATATAATACTATCTTCTTAAACCTTTTCTGAAGTTTCTTGTTCACATGAATTAGGATTCACCCAAACTGTGTTCATAAAACTAATATAAATATTGAAAACACTAATGGAGGTGAACAATAGATTTTTTGGACAATATAGACAGCTTTTGATACCTAATTTACTAAACATAGATCCTGTTGAGGAGGGACTGATAATTTTATCAGCGCTTCAAAGGGAATGCAGATGTTAATGAATAATTGATAGGAATACATCTCTCATGACCTCAAATGTGGTCTCTTTCAATTACATCTAGAATGCACATGCTGAGCTGTCCTGCTCCCAGTGCCTTTGGGATCCGTGGTGTTCCTGATTGGCCAGATAAATAGCTCAGCTTGATTAGCACTGTTGCACTTGAGATCCATTGCTTGGAGTCACCTTCAAGCAGTTGTCTAATGGGGGTGACTTCTGTTTTTATGGGAGCTATGTTCTTCCTTGCTTACATTCAATAATTTAACATGGAAAACATTATTGTATGTTTCTTTTCTCCCAAAAATAAATTTTAAAAACCTTTCAGTACCATACTGTAAAGTATTTCTTGTATGTTTTGGGACAATTTCAAAGAGACTTTCAGGTTTTTAGGCAGAATGTTGTTTATTTATTCCTTTACAGTGTTGTGCATGTTGGATTCTTGTTTTTTGAGCTGTTAAATTCTGGTAATTATTTTCAAATTATTATGGTAAACAGTTTTATTGTTTTCATTTTTAAAAATGTAAAAAATGCTATGAATAGTCCATCTTTTAGGTATGGGGGACCTTTTGAGCTCCCATGTCTGAATTTAAATTGGACTTAAAGTGAATGTGACCCAAAACTATCGATGTGTGTATTTCATGCTATTCTTTTCCTTTGGTAGCTTCAGTGCCAGTTGAGTCAGTAGTATTTTGCATTACTTGTGCTAACTTTAATTTCAGGTGAGATTCAACCTGCTGCAGTATGTTGTACCAGATGTTAAGGAACTATATAATTGGCTGGAGGTGGATTTTCACCCTCTGAAACTCTGTGGCAGAGTAACCAAGGTAATTTTGAAATGGGTTGCATAATTCGCAACTTAAATCGCTTCTCACTGTAATTAGTTGATTTTATGTAACTGAAAACTAAATACATCCCAAATCTACATCTCCACGGGATGACATCTTATAGACATAATCATTGCCACCAAAATAGACATTTTGGTGGCAATGAAAGAGAAAGTTATTTGATGACTTTTATAAAGGATTAATATCTGGAATCGTCTCCAGTGGCAATATATTCATTTTTAATATAATGACAGCGTTCTGACTAATTGCTGTAGGCAGGTTACCTAAAATCCTTGTACCTTTTGTGTTTTGTTGGGCAGCTTTTGAACTGGGTGAGAGACCAAGCTGAGAAAGAGCCTGACCTCCAGCATTACGTTCCTCATTTGCAGAACAACACCATTCTCAGGCTGCTTCAGCAGGTCTCTTTTCTTTTTGGCTTTGATCTTTTCGAAGGAAATCAATGCAAGCAAGGACTAATTAAACATTAAGTATCTGTAAATGTTTCTGTACCCTTTTGTAAATAAGTCTTTGCAACATAATTCCATGCTTTAAATGCAGTCAGTTATTTCAAAGGACATTCAGGATCATATTTATTTTTCCATTGCACATTTCATTGTCCTATCTTTTTTGTCTTTGAGAGGTGGGATATTTCTGATGTGCTATAGAAATTGTGGAGGCAAATTAGCAGTGTGGCTGCACAGTGCCAATGCTGCCAGTCTCCTTCAGACAGCTCCTCATTGGAAGGCTGGGTTGGTGTATAGTACAGGTGTAGTTAGCTTATGTGTTCTATAAGGTATGCTACCTGTGGTATTCTCTTTAAAAAACACATTCTAAACGCTTAAAATGTGGACTACTTGGCATGTGTACTAGAGTTTCCAGTCTACTTCTTGACAGTGCTTTTTACCTTGAATCTTAATTAGCAGATTTTTGCAAAGCCTGATTATTGTAGAATTCCCTAAAAGTGCTTTGGAAAGCTGCAGGTTGGGTTGACCTTTCTGTGAGGAATAATTTCATATATAAGTTTGATTTTTTGTATTTGTCATTAATTTTAATTTTACTTTTGTGATATCACAGTTACCATTTCCTATATATACACTGTTTATACAGTCTTTTTACGAATCTTACTGTCCTGAAAATAAAGAGGGCTACTTTCTTATGGAAATTTAGAATTTAAATATGCTTTCATATAACATTGCCTATTTTTTTTTTTGTAGGTGGCCCAGATCTACCAGAGCATTGAGTTCAGCCGGCTGGCTTCACTTGTTCCCTTTGTGGATGCCTTTCAGTTGGAGCGCTCCATTGTTGATGCCGCCAGACATTGTGACCTGCAGGCAAGTAAACATCGTCAGAAATTCCTCAACTCCATGTACGTGTGCAGAAAACTGCTTTACTGTCTAAATTTACCTAGGATTAAAACAGTTTAAAAAGCTTAAGTCCTAGTTTGCTGTGTACTGCATTGAGACCGTGAATGCTGATTACTGAAACAGCTTTGACAAATGAAAATTACAGAAAAAGACGGTAATAGTTTTGGGGGTGATGATGATTCTGAAAATTGAGTTTAGTCATGTTCCATTGACTCATACGACTAGTGTAACAGTCTTTTTTTTAATTGGTGGCTTTCATGGTCTGCGTTTTGGATGTTCAGAAATTGGGAACTTTGCCCCCAACAAAACTGCAGAATGTCAAGCAGTTAAGTATTTTGATATGAAGCTGATTATTAACAAAATAAGTACTTAAAGGCAAGTATGTAAATTATAGATTTGGGTGTAGAGAGACCTAGTATCTTTTCTTTTTTTGGCAGAACCATTGTTTTACTTCCTGAACATTAAGCAAAAGTTTAAGTTTCTGAAGTGTTGTGCTTTTTTTTTTAAATAGGTGCGGATCGATCACACATCTCGTACCCTCAGCTTTGGGTCTGACTTGAACTACTCCACCAAGGAGGACTCTCCTGTGGGTCCTTTCTTGCAGAACATGCCCTCCGAGCAAATCAGAAACCAGCTTACAGCCATGTCCTCTGCCCTGGCCAAGGCCATTGATATCGTCAAGCCTCCATCCATTCTGGTAAATATAGGAGCTTGGATGTCATCAAATCAGTTTAGCATAGTTACTTTTTGTGTTGTAGTACCTGTGGTGCTCTGGTGAGAGACTTTCATTTCAAGCACTAATGCACAACATTACCTGACTGAACTGTTAAATGTGTTGATGCACATGGGCTAAAAAAACAAAGCTTAGACCATCTCTGTGAAATAGATATCTATTTGTCCTGATCACTAATGTGCCAGAAAATGCAGGCAGATAAATTAGGGTATGAAGTGTGCTGTGCACATCTGTTTGCAGTGTAGAAGGTTTGTGCAATTGGAATTGCGTATTGTAAAGCCTGTTTATGAAAGCTACTTTTCTGACAAAAAAAGCAGAACTGAAATGTTGCTGTCTTTGAATCCAGCAGCTATATGACTACAATTTAAAGTTTGTATTGGAAGTGAAGTCAGGCATTCTAAAAGAACTCAGTGTGTGTATGTAAGGTCTCTTATTATCCGGTAAGAATCTGTCGTTTCGTTAAAAGGTTTAAACCTTACTTATTTACATCATGCCTTATGCAATGGAACTAGCATAATGCATTGGGGCAGTTGACAAAAATAGGAAATGTCAAGGTAAAATCACTTACTAGGGCTTTAGGCCATCACATGTGGCCAGTATGGCTTTTATGCATAATGTACTAGTCATAGATTCTGCCAACATCTGCAGTTCTGCTGTAGGAATGTGGCACCATTTTTTTACGACATAGTCAATCAATTCTCACTCAGTTGATGGGGGTAGGAAACAATCTCAGGCATTCATCAGACATTGTCATCCTGGGAGACACTGGCAGAAAAGAAATGGTGCAACATGGGTAGAAGATGCCACTCAGTACCATTCGTTAGAGATTAACACTGACCTTGCATTCTCAGGGTATATGTACACCCAAACCATGCCAGGAACAAGTGCCCACAACGTTATGGAACACTTTAGAGTTCTTGGCAGATTGTTTTTGCATGGGCCCCAAGTTAAAATTTGCAGTCAGTTGGTGAAACTTGTCTATTTTGCTTTTTTGCCCTGCAGTTTGATTTAATGTATGGGTATGATGATCCGGGAGTATGTTGCTTTTGTCCACTGTTGCCCTTATCTTGCTGCTGTTTTCTTTGGAGTTCGATATTGAGATCACCTTAGACCCCGTTATTCAAGAAACATCAACAAGTTGAGCTGTCTTAGTAACTGAAACTCCTGCTAAATGCACCCCAACAATTATCCCCCTTCTAAATTCACTGAAGTCTCTACTTGAATTGATAATTATAGGCAGCCCGGTCTGTCCAGCATGACCCTAAGCATGCTGGGATGTTATTTGCTTAATTAACTTGTGAGCCACACCTGTGTAGAAGACTTTGCTTTCAGTAAGCATGGTATCCCTCAATTACCTTGGTGTTTCTATTTTTTGTCAGCTACGTGTATGCATGTCGTGAGGCCTATTGAAAGCTGAGGTATTTTTGTGAACATAGGACGGACTTCTTTAAATGTTAGAGTATCAGACCCTTTTACCACCATCTTGTAGGATTTTTACCCAAAATTATGCGGTACAGGTTGTAGATGAAGATTTTCAGTGTAACATGAGAAGGATTATTTTGAGCTTTAGTTTCACAGTCACTATGGATCTCTTCTCATGACATGTAGGTTGATCATTTTAACATTTTCTCGTGTATGATGCTTTGGGGCGAGTGGTTTTTCGACCTCCCTTGTGCTGATTTGTTCTTCCCCACTGCAGCAAGAGCGGGAGGAGCAGAACCAGCAGGCGATCGCAGCTTACCTGAAGAACGCCCGCAAGGAGCACCAGCGCATTTTGGCCCGTCGGCAAACAATTGAGGAGCGCAAAGAGCGCCTCGAGAGCCTGAACATCCAGCGGGAGAAGGAGGAGCTGGAGCAGCGCGAGGCGGAGCTGCAGAAGGTGCGCAAGGCCGAGGAGGAGCGCCTTCGCCAAGAGGCCAAAGAGCGAGAGAAGGAACGGATCATGCAAGAGCACCAGGAAATCAAGATCAAGACTTTGAGGGAGCGCCTGGAGCAGATCAAGAAGACTGAGCTGGGGGCCAAAGCCTTTAAAGACATTGACATTGAGGTAAGTGACAGAAGGGATGCAAGAAAAATCTAAGCTGCCTTTCTTTTAAGTTATGTAATCAGAACTCAGATTTGCGAATGGCCGTATAAATATTGGTTGTGTGCTCTGTGGCAAATACATCTGTGACAAAAGATTACAGTTCAAGAATTTTTCTAAGAAAGCAGTTTTTTTAATTCCTGGGATTTTCCTAATATTAAGCTATATTTGAATGTTTTATTTGATGTCAGCTATTTCAGACTCTAAATTTGAGTTTCCATCACGCTCCAGCACTTTTCTGCTACAGGATGAGTGATGGCATAAAATCATTTTACTTTGTACACTCTCTCTTTCAGAGCATTATTAAAAACTAAGGCCTCAGCACATGTATGATGAGAGATGTCTGTTTTTCTTTGTGACAAGCACATTTCATTGTCCTGCTCTCTGACCTTGTGAGAGATGAGATATTTCTGATGTGCTAGATAAATCCTGGTGGTAAATTAGCAGGCTGGCTATGCTGTGCCAGAGCCTGCCAGTCCCCTTCAGACAGTTCACATTGCAGTCAAAAACAGACTTAAGGTGGTGATGATGTTCATAAATTTATTTTAGGAGTTGTTTCAAGCTGTGTTCCTTTATATTCTCACATGTGTGATATTTGTGTCATGACTAAGTGACATTTTCTAAATGTTATGCGGTAGCAAAATTCACTACCTAGTTTTCAGTAAGTAATTTTTTGGATCCGTCTCTAGATAAAGCAGTTAATTCCTGGAAGCATGGTTAGGTTAAAATGTCCTCCTTTGTGATCAGGACCTTGAGGAGCTGGACACAGACTTCATCATGGCCAAGCAAGTGGAGCAGCTGGAGAAGGAGAAGAAAGAGCTCCACGAGCGCCTGAAGAACCAGGAGAAGAAGGTGACACCAGAACCACTTTTTTCTTATAGGTTATGACCTAAAGGAGTTGTCTGGATTCTTTTCCGAAAGTAAAGACTGATTTGTATGATGTTTAGTGCTTGGGTACTACGCTCTAATACAGTTAAGTGTCTAAGGATTTTACAAAGAGTGTTCAAATGTATGGATCAGTTTATTATCTGTAATAATGATACAAATGTTGATAAAATGTTGAAGATTAAATGTGAATTTAGCATTTATTGCAGTGGTATTAAGCACATTTCACTATCTTGCTCTTTATTTGAGAGTTGAGATATGTCTGATGTGCAAGATTAAGTCTGAAGGTAAATTAACAGCATGTCTGTCGAGTGTCACTGCTGTCAGTCCCCTTCAGACAATTTGTTTATTTGCTGTTAATTGCTTAATTTCTTTTATCTTGGATTTTGTCATGAGGACCACAGATAAGTGAGACCTGTGTCGAATCCGTTTGACAGATTATGGATTGCATTCATTTAGAAAGTGCCTTTCAGGAACTGATATTTCAATACTTCAAAGTTGGGTAATTCTTACTTTTTTTTAACTAGATTGACTACTTTGAAAGAGCCAAACGTCTGGAAGAAATTCCCCTGATTAAAAAGGCTTATGAAGAGCAGCGAATTAAAGACATGGAGCTGTGGGAACTACAGGAGGAAGAAAGAGTAAGAAAATATTCTTTAAAGTAGTTGATTACAAATGTTTTTCCTAAAGCTTCCAATTTATATCGTGTAAACAATAATAAATGTAGTAAGGAAGCTAGAAAATTTAGTTGAAGTCTTAGTCTGAAGTTGTATTCTTTGAGCATTTGTCATTAAGATTTACGTGCATTTGAATTTCCAGAATTTGAGTTTTTAAAGGTTTCTCCCGTTTTTAGTATTTGTCTTCAAAAACAGAGCTAACTAAGGCCTGTTATTTGTAGATTAACAACATGAAAGTGGAGAGAGAAAAGGCATTAGAACACAAGCAGAGAATGTCCCGAATGATGGAAGACCAGGAGTACTTTGTCTCCAAGATCACTGCTGCGCGCCGTTCAGTGTATGAGGTATGCACGAAACTACACCTTGGCTAACCTTGAGAAGATTTTGGAGTAGCCGTTGAATTAAAATGTGTTTAGTGGTGCTTGGGTTTGAAAAACAACTGATGAGCATAAATGTAACAAATTCTAATCTTCATTTCAGGAAAAACTGAAACAGTTTCAGGAGCGGCTGGTGGAAGAGAGGAAAAAGCGCCTGGAGGAGCGCAAAAAGCAACGTAAAGAGGACAGACGAAATACCTACTACCGGGAGAAGGAAGAGGAGGCCCAGCGCATCCATGAGGAGCAACTTAAAAAGGGTGAGACTTGGAGACGGAGAAAGTGCAAAGAAAGGGTAGGATGCGACGGACACACCATTTTTGAGTAATGGATCTGAAGTGCAGATTTTCGCAGAGCAGTAGAACCCCATTTAATTTTGTGGTATGAAAGCTGTGAAGTTACACAGCGAAAGGCCTGCATGGATGTGTTGTTGCATTCACTTTAAAGGCTGCTTGAGCAGCATAACTCAACATAGTGCAGCGGAGAACTGTCGGTGATCCTGCTGTTCCTGGGCAGAGCGTGAGGAACAAGAGCGGATCGAGAGGGAGCAACGAGAGGAGGAAGAGAGGGAGTACCAGGAGCGTCTGCGGAAACTGGAGGAGCAGGAGAGGAAGCAGCGCGCCAGGCAGCAGGAGATTGAGGAGCGCGAACGGCGTAAAGAGGAGGAAAGGAGAATGCCCGAGGAAAAAGGCATGAAGGTACTGACCGGGCACATTTAGGTCATTTGGGAATGAGAGCTTGCTTCATCAAAATTTTTGAATAAAGCACACATCAACATGCTAGCAAGAGTGGAAAGATTGAAACTTGCTAAAAGTAAAGAATTGTTAGGGTTACACAGATTTACCCCCTAAATGTTGAGGTTGAATTTGTTCTATCAGGATTCTTCCCAGCGCTGGGCTGATAAAGATGAAGGAGGATGGAGGAAACGCATTGAGGGTGGTGAATCCGATTGGCGACGCCCTGTTCCAGACCGGTGTGTAAAAACCTTAAACCATATCCGATAATGTGAGATGAAGTGTAGCATGTGCCTTTTCATTAGTTCAGCTTTAATTCAGGTTAACATAATTGCAGTCCAGCCATCTTGAGATGTATCTCAGAAAGATTAAATTGGTCCTGATGGGTTGGTAATGAAGTCTCCATTCCACTCAGACATCGTGTCCTTCCAGAACTGAAATTACAAAACATGTATTTATATGTGGTAATGTACTAAACTCTTTGGCAAGCATTTTATGGAAATGGTTCGTGTTCTAATGGTAATAACTAAGTCCTAAAACTAAATGGAACTTGTGAAAATAAAACTAAATTGGTGCCGGATTTAAAACCGTGAAATTGTGCAAGTAGATCTTGTTTTCAAGTTGGTTTTCTTATTTAACTATTTCCTCTGATAAGTTCATACCACATAAAGGATTCTGGTCTAATTGGCCAAATTTTGAAGTGCTGTTTTCTACAGCAGTGATGATGATAAGCCTGCATTCCGTCGTGAGGAAGAGCGGGAACCACCTTTCAGAAGGGGAGGAGATGACAGAGGCCCACGCAGGGGTATATCTGATGACCGAGTGCCAAGGAGGGGCTTTGATGACGACTGGGCCCCGAAAAGAGGGGTGGATGAAGACCGGGCCCTGAAAAGAGGGGTGGATGATGACTGGGGGCCAAAAAGAGGGGTGGATGATGACTGGGGGCCGAAAAGAGGGGTGGATGAGGACCGGGTCCCGAAAAGAGGGGTGGATGAGGACCGGGTCCCGAA